AAACAACTCAGAAGTACAAGAGAGAGGACATCAAAAGGTAAAAGAAAATGATTTCCTCTTCCACTGAAAGATTGTTTTCAAATTTCCTGTGATCAAAAACATTAAAATCGCTGTGTATAAAAACACAGCAAAAGGAAAAAAGGTAAAATGATCGTTCTTGTGTAACTTGTGTTGCAAACTGGCAAGTTTCGTGTAAGCGATTTCCTGATGCTGTGGCAAAAGCCTCAAGTAAGGCCCCCATTCCACTAGAACGGCGCTCTCACTGCGCTCTTTCTGCGACCTGTTGGTCGGAGAGAGTGCCGTGAGAGCGCCGGGGTTTCCATGGGAGTACCATGAGAGCGCACTGAGAGCGCCATAAGCGCCGTCACCACTGTTTTGAACCGGCTCATACCGTCGCCGTGAGAGCGCTAAGGGCGGCCATCCACAACAATGAGCGCCGTGAGAGCACCATGTGAACGCACAACGGCCGGCGCTCTCACGGCGCTCTCTCCGCGCTCCGACCAACTTCAGGTCGCAGACAGAGTTGTATTTCTATGTAAGGCCATGTTGATTTGATTATATGGATGACATCCGCGCGCGCATGAATTTTCGGCCGTTTCCAAAAAAAAAAGTTTTCAACCATACTGTAAATCGTGCAAAACAGTTGCTAAATGAGCAAAAATATACCATAAGTTGCAACGAAAACATTTAGAAACGATACCAATGTCGTAGAATGCCAAAATCAAAGGAAAAAAGACAAAAATGTAAAGAAATGAATTCGAAGAGTAGATTATTCGCCATAACATATTCTGTGCCATTTGTTCAACCTTCATGACCACGTAGATTTCATAGTGAAAGCAACTTTTTTTTGTGCAAAACTTTTTTTTATTCGCACGCGCGCATCAGTTTTGGGGTTCCCAGAGGATGTCATCCATATAATCAAATCAACATGGCCTAATTGGGCATGGGGCGTACTGTTATATCCGTGATGATGCACGTTGTTTTCTTTTCACCGTAGCAGTTTTTATATTGAGGTAAATTCATATTCCAGAAACAACCCTATTTCTATAATCCTGTGGAATAGGCCATATCTTAAGTAACTGTGTATTACATATAGGCGAGGTTTTGTAAGCAGATATTAGGTGGTTGACCAGGTTGTTGTGTATAATCGTTTGCGAGTATATTTTTTTTCGAAGTTCCAACATGTAATCACCACACCTGGTGACGGCACACTCAAGTTTTTTCAACTTATCTTAATGCCGCCACCAACACAGGGAACAAATACATGACAGGACAATACTCATTTTCACCTGAGCGAAGTGAGGAAAGTCGTGTAAAGTGCTTTTCCTCGAGACCTCTTGGTTCCGAGTCGAGCACTCTGCCGTTACGCCACACGACCCCATATCTGATTGGATTGTGACTTGTTTGTGACTGTGACTGGTTTCCTCCTTCGATACCTTATCAAATAAGTAATTTGTAGTAAATGAAAGATATTGTTTATTATTATGAAAGATGACTTTGTTCACCTCTTTAGATTGTCGTGTTGTTGATCATGTATTTGCAAAATATAAAACTTCACGGAAAAATAGTCGTCTATGGACACTTGTTTGGGTTTTTGGTCGTGCATAGAGCGCAGAAAGGTCGCTGTAGAGATTCCACTTAAGCACGTTTTTCGTGGAATGGTATGCATTGGAAGTAGCCTTGTGAATCTCCGGCCTCACAAAGAATGACCAAGAATGCGCGAGACCAAACTTCGGTGACGTATCGGATACTGCCTTGCCAATGTCTTGTAAAGTTGTTTCTGTTGCAAGAATCAGGAGAGTAGAAACACCGACAAGGCCCGGTTTCGATTCCCGGTGGGAACCATTGTAAGGAGAGAAGAAACAGAATATACTCCTGGTCCCGGGCCGGAGATCGAACCCACGCCAACCTGGGCACCAGATCAAACCCCGACGCTCTAACCATTCGGCTAAAAGATCTAGACCCTTTTATGGTAGGGCTTATAAACCCCCCACTGTTACACTGTCTTGCAGCCACCAGAAGATTTGATTGGAGAATAGACGCCAAGTTGAAATGAATTATAGATTTGAAGGTTTTCGAGCCAATCGGTGCTTGCGCACTGAGAAAAAAAAACTGGACCAGAGTACATGAAGAAAATTTCACGGACACACAGCTTGCATAGACACGCCAAATCATCACGTTCAAAACGTTCAATCGTATCCATTGGGTTTTAATGGCAAGCTGTTCTGTTGGAACCCAGTACTGCGTTAAAGGTCAAAGGTCACAGACATGGGTGCGGTAGCTACTAGTATATAGTTTAGTTCATATCTGATATCTCCCGTTCCACGAGTCTGATCGACTGCAGAAAACAGAGGTGAGAGAACCTGAAGCTTTCTAGATCTACAAAAGATCTTCAAAGTATCCAGCATGTATTATGCTAATTCAAGAAATGGCAGCGTTTAACGAACCGACTGCTTCTCTTTCACGAGTATATGTCGTACATGTATGCGATGCAACAGTACACAAACGAATACCTGAACTTAAGTAAGTTCAGTGAGCTACCGTATACCAGAACTCGTAGAATATTTAAAACGACTAAATTAATAACTTGGAGAAGGACGGGGGAAGAGAGGGCTACAGTGGGGTCACGACTGGCAAGGAATCCTAATTATTTCTGTCTGGCAGATTGTTTATCAAA